CCCGTTTCGAAGAGGGAGCCTCCTTCCATCCCCGTCAGTTCTGCGCAGCTTCAGGGTTCTTGACCGAGCTTGCGCGGAAGCCTCAGAGCCCCGTTTCGAAGAGGGAGCCTCCCTCCATCCCAGTCAGTTCTGCGCAGCTTCAGGGTTCTTGACCGAGCTTGCGCGGAAGCCTCAGAGCCCCGTTTCGAAGAGGGAGCCTCCCTCCATCCCCGTCAGTTCTGCGCAGCTTCAGGGTTCTTGACCGAGCTTGCGCGGAAGCCTCAGAGCCCCGTTTCGAAGAGGGAGCCTCCCTCCATCCCCGTCAGTTCTGCGCAGCTTCAGGGTTCTTGACCGAGCTTGCGCGGACGCCTCGAGGCGAGAGGCCCCTGCTGCAAACGAAGCCGCCCTCCGTCGGTGCAGCTGGCTTTCCTGTTTGGAGTTGCGGCTCGTAGAACAGCGACATGCATCTGAAGCAAGAGCCGCACTTCGTAACATAACCAGCCTTCATCAGTGTCGTTGTGGAAACGTTTCCACCGAATGTGCGCGGCGCGAATACGAGAGTTGTGTGTTGACGACTACCCCGCCGTCCATCCATGTGAGCGCCAGATTTGTTTGTCGCGAGCTTGAGCAGGCTAAGGCGAAAACGGCACTCGTAGACGACCAGCCTTCCATCTTTGTAACTGTTGTAGGGTTTTTAAATTCAGGATCGTCAAACCTTAAGCATCTCAGAGCGAATCGCCAATCCTGACCTACGGACGTCGGATGGCTCGACAGAGGTGAGTTCGTCATAAAAGAAGGAAGGGGGAGGAGGAGGAGGAGGAGGAGGAGGAGGAGGAGGAGGGCTCTTGCTGCTGAAGGCCACCGACCGCACAGGCTCCTCGAAGTGACCCTCTCCTCTGGTACCCCTGCCTCGTCCCACCCCGTCGTGGTATGTGAAGCCTGTGGGTACGGTGCCAGTAATCGAATCTTGGCCCCGCTCCTCGCCCCTTGCAATGGCAAGCCCAGCGAGCACGGAGGTCGTACCCTTAAGCAGCTGATCCAAGGTTTCATGCCTGGGTCCCGGAAGGCTGCCACCTGCTCGACCAGGCGTGTTGAGTTGGCGTAATTTGTTTGTTTTCTCTCGATTGGCGTTCATGGATGACCATGTTCTTCTGCAGTGCTTTGAGGAGGAGGAGGAGGAGGAGGAGGAGGAGGAGGAGGAGGAGGAGGAGGAGGAGGACGACGGATGATGGTTGAATGGAGGATGGAGGAGGAGAAGCAGTCAGAGGAGGGGGGGTAGGAGGGAACGAGGAGGGATGCAGAGAGGAGGGAACGAGGAGGGATGCAAGGGGATGGGGAAGGTGCGAGGAAGGATGCAGAAGAGGAACATCTCTCGTACTGTGTGGAGTCTTCTGGGGGATAGTACTAGGCTGGGATCCCCTTACTCCTTCTCCTCCAGATCGCTTCTCCCTCCACCTCCTCCTCTGTGATCACGATCTATGCCAGCAAAGTCTAAGCCCCCTCAATCCAAATAGCTGCGGTGTTCATATTGACCCTCCTCATCCTGCTGATTACTCCCCTTCTCATCATCGTGCCGTATGCCACTCATCATTACCATATCATGCTCTTCCTCCTCCTTGTCATTTCTCTCTCTCTCTCTCTCTCTCCCCCCCTCTCTCTCTCTCCCCTAGCCGCGCCCAGTGAGGTCAGCAACCTGCTGTCCTTCCTGACGGCTGACCAGTGCAACCCGGATTTCAACGACCCCGAGGCTCGCAAGTTGGGCTACGTTTCGACAGGAAAGGGGAAGAAGTCCGTGGCGTCTCTGAAGACGAGCCGCCTTCAGCGCCTCAGGTCCGAGCGGGCCGAAGCTGGGACGAAACGACGAGTGGGCGCTGGCTGCGAGGCGTCTTCGAACAAGACCTACTCCAGACCTCGTAATAAAAGGGAGGGGGTCTGGACCCTCCAAGACAAGCCATTTCAGACCCCCCCCCTGTGGGAGAACTCTCCAACACATCGTCCCCAGACCCCCCCCAGGCCCTCCAAGATAGCCTGGAAGAGACCCCCCCCCGAAATGAGACCCCCCTCCCTTTATTACGAAATCTGGAGTAGATGGGGTCGGAGGATCGCGCCGCATCGCCAATGCATCGGCGATGCGGCTCGCGGTGGGGCCCGATTTGCTTCACGTCGACTTCGGCGATGCATCGCCGACGTCGACGATGCATCGCCAGTGCACCACCGATACATCCACGATGCATCGCCGATGCATCGCCGACGTATCGGCGATGCGGCCCGATCCTCCGACCCTATCTACTCCGACCCCATCTAGGAGATCTCTAGTAATGGGGGGGAGGCGAGAAATGGGGGAGGGGAAGAAGAAAGGTGCACCTGTCGTGCACTGCACAGTCAGCCAGTGTAGCAACTTTCCAGGGTGACCCTTGATCCTTCCCCTTCCGCCATTCCTTGGCCTCTTTCGCTGGTCGCACTCCGTTCGTAAAGTGCGGACATGGCATTCCACGGCCTTTGCATCCTTATCGTGCTTCCCTATTTTTCAGGTTGACTGCACGTTGCTTCGCCCCCAATTTCCGCCCCCCATTGAACAACGCCCAATGTCCAGCGCCGATCCAGCCTATTTCTGTGCCAATGATTGTTCTTCGGTTGCTGGTCGCTGTCGGCTGAAGTTGCCTCCCCCTTCCTGGGGACACCGCGGTGCCCGCCTCAGAAGCGACGCGCCGTCTGCCCCGCAGCAGCTTTCTTTCCCTTTCGCAGCAAACCAACGAGAAACGCGCCGCTGTCCGTTCGTGACGGCATTTGCTGCTGGTCGTTGCCCCGTGTGGGCTGCCAAGATCGGTACGATCGAAATGGATACGGAAAGAATGAGCACGAAGGCCGACAGCAGTTCTTGATCGTTCGAGCAGGTCTCGCCGTCGGCGTCCCCGCGGAGTGCTGTCCATGTGGGACAGCAGGCAGGTCGCCCTTCGGCGGCCGATGTTGGCTCTGGGCAGCATTTGCTGCTGGGCATCTGGACCATTCCGGGCGTCTAAGCAAGAGAGACGTCACCACCCACCAAGCCACCCCAACCCAACCCGAAGGCTCAGATTTACCCTCGATTTCCAGTGGGGGGGGGTCGGGAAACCTTGAAAAAACACGCGTGGAACCCTTACCCCCCCAACCCGAAATTCGGGTCTTCGGGTTGGGTTGGGGTGGTCTGGTAGGTAGTCAAGACGGGCCAGTTGCGCCGACATTCGGCTCGGGCTGACCGCGTCAGGTCGCGCGTGGGTGCCTCTGACCTCACGCGGGGTGCCGCGGTGGCAGCCCGCGTGAGCCAGTACGCACGGTCCATGTGCGTCCTCGCGCGTGCAGCCCTTGTTTCTCACCACCCACCAAACCACCCCAACCCAACCCGAAGGCTCAAATTTACCCTCGATTTCCAGTGGGGGGGGGTCGGGAAACATCGAAAAAACACATGTGGAACCCTTACCCCCCCCAACCCGAAATTCGGATCTTCGGGTTGGGTTGGGGTGGTCTGGTAGGTAGTCAGTTTCGCTTCGCCGCTCGCATTGACGCTGTCCACACCTTTGGACGTGCCCAGCGGTCACCATGGCCGCTCAGCCGCCCCGAGAGGCCGGGGGACCCACGGGAGATCGGACGCATCTTCTCTGAGAAAAGCAGGCAGCCTCGGTCGGGTCTTGCCACGTTCAGTCTCGTCCGCACGGAAGAGTGCCCGTCCAGCGGCTCCTGGGCCCCCAGGCTTCCTGGGGCCTCGCCCGGGCCGCCACGGTCTGCTCTCAGGTCTCGGAGCTTCACAGACGGGGGTCAATGCAAACGGGGGTCGGCCAGGGCACCAGATCCTGCAGGATCCTGCGACGACCCGCTCTGGCTGACCCGGGTTAGCGAGCCGCTCGTGGCCGCGAGGCGGCCGCGCCTATTGGCCGGGCCTGGGTTTGCGAAGCCTTGCGCTGCATTTTATTTGTTCTTTTTGCACTGCAGCTTTTTGGTTTCCTGCCGACCCGGGTCTGATCGACCCAGGTTGGGCGCCCTCGAGGGCGCGAAGTTGTTCGCGCTTCGTGCTTCGCGGTTCGGCACCTCATCCTCCTCTTCTCCCCTGGGAGGCGGCGCGAGAGCGCGAAGTTATTCGCACTTCGCGCTTCGCGCAGCGCGAAGCGCGAAGTTGGGAGCCCTAGGTTAGGAGATCCCCGAAGGTCGCGGGTCGGCCTCGTGGTCTTCTCGTGGCCCGTGCAGGCCCTCGTCTTTTTGGTCGTGATGTCGGACATGGTACTGACGAGCGTCGGAGACGCCTCCGGCGAGCCACGTCCGCCTCCCTCTGCCGTGTGGAGACGCTGGTGTGGCGAAGTGTATAGGCCGAAAGTCCAGCCATGCTGGTGGCCTGGGAGGAGGAGGAGGAGGAGGAGGAGGAGGAGGAGGAGGAGGAGGAGGAGGAGGAGGAGGAGGAGGAGGGGAGGAGGAGGAGGAGGGGGAGTAGGAGGAGGAGGAGGCCAGGGGCTCTTGTCAGGCTTCCCTGGAGGTCCTCCGGGGGCCCTCCCGGACTGTCTGGCGCCGTCGCTTGCTGTCTTGGGCCCTGTGTCAGCCGTCTCGGGAGCCCAGCCAGCGCACCGCCTGAGGCCAAATTTGGCCGAGGTGGGGTGCTTCCTTTTGGCTGCCAGCAGTGTCACTCGAGGCGCCCGAGAGCGCCGCAGAAGTCCGAGGAAATTCGCATCTGGGCCGGAACCCCACAGTCTCTCTACCACTCACAATTGTATCCGCCGTGGGGTTCTCCACTACGTGATCAAGGCGAGTCGGCGGATTTCTGTCGCCAATGTGCTCGAGGAGGACGCCACCGTCAACATCGTCGGAGACGTCTGTATCGTCTGCATACTGGCCGCTGATGTCTGTTGTCGCTGGTTTGCGGAAGGTATGGGGTTCATCTTCCCGATGGCCGATTGCAAGATGAACATATTCGAGGCCGTGTTGGTGCCGATCACCCTAGCCGAAATCACTGTATTCAAGCACCTCAACATTCCCTTCCCACTATTGCGGGCGCTCCGCCCGATATTCCGTTGCATCCGTGTGTTGCGCGTCTGTCTTCGGACTGCCGGCAAGGGCACGCAGTATTTGACAAGGTTGCGCCACCAGTTGTCGGGTGACAGGCTTCGTTTCATCCAGGATGGGTTTGATTTAGATCTACAGTACATTTCTCCTCAGATCATTGTGATGGCCGATCCGACAGTGGGGAGCGACGCGATCCTGCACAATCCTCTGAAGGACGTGGCGCGGTTCTTGAACGAGAGGCACACCAATCGGTATTTACTGTTGAATGTAACCGAAGATCGTCGTTACCCACTTGGACCGTTCTTCGGTCGGTACTTCAAATTCCCTATCGCGCAGGACAGTGTCCCCAGCCTGGACGGGCTCAAGCTGATGGTTGAGGCTGTTGACCAGTGGCTGAAGGCAGACGAGACGCGCGTTGTGGCAGTGCACTCGAAGCACAATCAGGGCCGCGTCGCCCTTCTTGTCGTCGCCCTCATGCTGCACAGGAGAGATCACAGGAGCGCGGGGCACGCCCTCGCCTCCTTCGAGGCCCTCCGCAGGCGGGAGGCCAGCGATGCGGAGCACCGCCCCACCTTGGACAGCGCGTCCCAGCTGCGCTTCCTGGACTACTTCGCCCACGCCTGCAGCCTCCATGGGGGGCTGCCCGCACGGACGGCCAGGATCAAGAGGGTGCAGGTGTCCGGCGTGCCCAACGCACACCTGCTGGACCCTCACGGGGCGGGAATCGGGGAACAGAAAGTGGCATGGACGTAAAATCTCGAAGGTCCGCGCGGATTTCTCGGAGCGGCGCTTGACCCCCCTCTCCCCGGCGCGCGGAGCGCGCCAGGGGCGGCGCCGGAGGCGCCATCGGGGGGCCCCAGCGCCGATCCGAGAAATCCGCGCGGACCTCCGAGTTTTTATGTCTATGCCACTTTTTTTTTCCCCCTAGGGAAGCAGAGATGCAAGACGCGGAGATAGGGAGCGGTTCGGGTTCGGAGGGGGCTCGCCTATCCCGAGGTCCTTGCGTGGCTGTTTCTCTGGCGCTCCGCTTGCGTCCGCGCGCTTTTCTGGCCAAGCAGGGGCTTTGTTGTTTTACGATTCTTCTGGACCGGGCTCACCACAAAAGTATCGCCTCCGCGTCCCCGTCAGGACACGTCACTGCAGCAACTCTCATGGCTCGGGGCATTGGAAGGCAAAGGGCCAACTGGAGCCGGGCTCGGCCATCCGATTTCGATTCGATCCGGGACGATCCGTTGTCGATGCGACTCGTTTCCGATCCGATCCGATTTCACGATTCGATTCAGCTCAGTCCCGCCCTGGCTGTATCCATCTGGACGCCCGAAATGGGTACGGAAAGAACGGGTACAATGCCCAACAGCAGTTCCTGTGCATTTTGAGCAGGATTCGCTGTCCACGCCGCCGCGGCCTGTGTCCATTCGAGACAGGTGGCCGCCTGCACAGCAGCGGCCGCTGCTGGTTTGGGACAACATCTGTTGTTGGGCATTGTGCCCATTCTTTCCGTACAGTCGGGGCGCTGAGGAAGGAACCCTTTTCGTTGGGGAGGGGCTCGGTGTTCCTTAGGTGTCTTGCAGTTCGCCTCTGGTTTTGCTCAGGGTCTCGATGGGAACAGCGAGGTTTAACCTATGGGAAAGAGGGGCCCCGTTCCTTATGTAGGGTTCCTCAGGTCAACGCCCCGACGGTACCCATTTCGGGCGTCCACAGAATCCACGCCCGCGGCCTCGCGGCACGGACCTCCTCGGCCGCGGCCACTCCGGCTGAGGGGGAGGGCGGGGGGGTGAGGATGAGGATGAGGGGGGTGAGGATGCTGATGAGGAGGGGGGGGGGGGGGGGAGGAGGAGGAGGAGGAGGAGGAGCGAGGAGGAGGATAAGGAGGAGGAGGGAGGAGGATGAGGAGGCAGGAGGAGGAGGAGGGGAGTAGGAGGAGGAGGAGGAGGAGGAGGAGGGGGAGGGGGAGAGGATGAGGGGAGGAGGAGGAGGGGGGGGGGAGGGGGAGGCTAGGAGGAGGATCAGGAACGCCCCTCGCGCGCGCGCCCCCCGCGCTGCGGCGCGAGCCCGCCCGCTGGCTCCGCCTCCCGCGGGGGTGGGGGGCTCGGCGCGGCCCCGGGCGCCACGTGGGGCGTAGAGGCGTGGACAGCCCGCAGGGAGAGGAGGCGTTGGGCCTCGTGCGGGGGCGGGAAGGGATGGGGGGCGAGGGGGCGATGAACTCACTCCCCCCTCTTTCCTTGCGCTGCGCTGCTCGCCCCTCCTCCTCCTCCCTCCCTCCCCCTCCTCCCCCTCCCCTCCTCCTCCCTTCTCGCCCCCCCTCCACCTCCTCCTCCTCCTCCCCCTCTCCCCCCCCCACCCCCCTCTCCCCTCCTCCCTGCTTCCCCTCCCTCTCCTTTACCCTCCCCCTCCTTCTCCTCTCCCTCCTCCTCCTCCTCCTCCTCCTCCTCCTCCTCCTCCTCCTCCTTGGGAAAGGAAAGGGGGCTTCGAGGGCTTCGTGCGGGGGCGGAAAGGAGGGGTCGGGGCTGGACAGAACCCCCAACAGTGACACGTCGATTGGTGAATCGTCCGTTTTCGGTTCTCGAGAGGGCGCCGTGGCCGTCATTCTCCAGGCTTGCGCCCGCGAGGGTTTGGGCCTCGGGTCGTTTTCACTAAGCCACGTTTTGCTAAAGGGGGGTCTGTCCTACCCCGAAGGGGGTCGATGACTAGGGGGGGGTGGATATCATGGCGGGGGCCACGATCTCCCCCCAGATTTCATGGCGCCTCTTCTTGCTTCAAGGCGTCCCCGGGCCCCCCCCCTCCCGGGCCGCGCAAATGCCGCCGGCCATGATTTGGCACCCCCCTCTTGGACGCCCCCCTCTCGGCCGCCCCCGGTTCGTGGGCCCCGGAAACGGCAGGGCCGTTTTTTCTTGGGCGTTGCGTAATGGGGGGTCATAAATGGGGGGGTGTCGCGGGTGGTCCGAAAAGGTACCCAAACGGTACCTAAACGAGCCCCCTGGGGCTCCAGAGGGGCCCGAAAGGGGCACGAAAGGGGACCGTTTCTGACCCCCCCATTTGTGACCCCCCCACTAAGCCACGCCCAATTTTCACCGTTGCCGAAAAAGGGTCCCTTGAAAATGGAAGCGGCAAAAAACGGCGACCGGAAACGGCAACAGAAACGGCTCCAGGATTGGGGCCGGAGCGGGGACCCGTAAAAGAACGGCGACGGAACCGGTAGAAAAAACGGCGTCGGAACCGGCAGCAAAACCGGCAAAACGGGACCGGCAAGAAAACGGCCCTGTCGTTTCCAGGGCCCACTGAGGGTAGGGCTCGGGAGCGGGGAGGCGGCACGAGCCCGAATCCCGACAGGTGCGATTCCGTCTCAGATCACGATGGGCTCGAGGAAGGAAAGACGGCACCAGCGTGTGCTGAGTGTTCGCACGGGTTTCTTGGAGCGGCGCTGGACCCCCTCCCTGGCGCGCGGGGCGCGCCAGGGAGCGTATCCGCGCGGCTGTTCTGGGGAAAGTGCCCCGAGAGTGTGTCCGCGCCGTGGAGTACACATGCGCCAGGGACTTCTGAAGGTCTGTGCCTGCGCAGTCAGCTCCTGCGCGGGTATACGCCTGCCGCCCGCGAGGACCTCAGCGGCTTCGCACACCCGGGCGAGGCGGAGCGCGGCAGCTGCGTGGCGCGGGCGAGCGCTGAGGAGCTGAGCGGCATGATGGCGAGGGGCGACCGGGCCGCCGGCGACGCCTCGGAGGCGCGGGTTCCGCTGCAGCAGAGGGTCCTGCACGCGATCGAGGAGAGCTGCCGCTGCCGCAGGGCAGGGCGCGTTCCCATCCGACCGGTTCGACTCGAGATATCGATTGTCGGCGGCGAGCCCGGGGGGGAAGTGAGAGGGGGCGGGTCTTCTCTGAAGGCTCGGATTTCTCCGCAAACATGGTCGGCTTCTCAGAGGGTGATCGTTTTCTTATTCATGGTTTTGCCGATCGGCGCGGGCCCTCGCACTCCCTCCCCCCCCTCCCCCCTGTGGAGTAGACCTTGGCTGTTTCTGGCGCCTGTTTCAAGCAGGTGGAGTCTCACCCATAGGACGCACTGTTGCAAACAGTCGCATTAAGCAGAGGTCCAGAGCCAGACCCCCCCCCTTCCCCCTCCGTCCGCCCAATGTCGAAACGCCGAATAAGAAGACGTTCGCCAGGGCTTCTGAGAGGCCACTCCGCCTTCTGAGCAGGCCTGGTCCCTCTCACCTTCTCCCGGGCTCGATGCCAAGATTGAGGCCATCCCGGTCCCATCTGGTTCCGGCATTCCGACGATTCGGTGCGTCCCCGTACCTGCATGGCGTTGTTGTGCATCCTGACGTCGAAGACGAGCAGACTGTATATACATAAACTCTTGGAGATCCAGAAGTTGATGTTTATGGCGTTTTTTCTTTTTCTTATACCCATACTTGCACGGCGTTATTGTGCATCCCGACGCGGCCGATCCGATTCGGTGTCGATTCCTTGCAGATGCGCGGCGATACCATGCATCGTTAGATCTTAGCCGACCTCCCGATTCGACACCGACTTCGTGCACCCCTGCACCACCACCACGTCTGGCGAGGGCCATCCTGGGATCTGGGATGGTGTATGGAGCACCCTGGCTTCGGCCATGAGGGCGTCTACACCAGCAGGCCCACCCAGGATGGCCCTGTCCAGCCACGATGGCGGCGCACAGGATGCCCACGCTGCTGCGGCCAGTGGGGCAGCTGCAGGGTTGCTCTCGGCCCGACTCGATCCGATCAGACCACCAATCTTCGGTGTCGTTTCCGATCCGATCCGGCGCGAATCCATGCGCCCTCAGTTTGAATTTTGGTGTTGATTGCGAAGACCCTACGGCCGGTGCCGCCGACCCTGGAGGGGGACGACGACGACGACGACGACGACGACGACGACGACGACGACGACGACGACGACGACGACGACGACGACGACGACGGCGACGACGGCGACGACGACGACCGACGAGACGACGACGACGACGACGACGACGACGACGGCGGCGGCGGCGGCGGCGGCGGCGGCGGCGGCGGCGGCGGCGGCGGCGGCGGCGGCGACGCTGACGTGGGTCAGAGGCCACAGTGATGCTGTTTGGGGCCCTCGGAGGCCTCTGGGGGGCAGTTTGGGGCCTCTTGGGAGCATTTTGGGGGCCTCTTGGCAGCCTCTTGGGAGCCTCTTGGGGCTTCCTGGGGGCCTCTTGGGGCCTCGGTTCCAGGGTCGAATGCCCCCCCCTGCGAAACTTTTTTTGTTGTTTGCCTCGTTTTCTTTTTCCACAGCGATTTTTTTTTGGTTTACCTACTTCGCTTTGCGAAGCTGAGTTGGCCGCGTGGTGGTGTGCTCGATTTGTGAACCTCGCTGCCTTTGGTTCGTGAACACGTGGGGCGGGAGGGGGGGGTCTTCTCCACGCCTCCCCGTTGCTGCTGGCGCCTGGGGGGGGGGCAAAAACAAAAACGGGCATTTTTTTTTTTTTTGTTTTTTTGTTGCCACCCCCCCCCAGGCGCAAGCAGCAACGGGGAGGGAAGGGAGGGGCCCTGTCCTCCCACGCTCCCCCCCCCTCTCCTCGTGCAACCCTTCCCTCCTCCCCCCTGTGCCTTGGGAACAAATGGCGGAAAGTACCAGTTGTTGTTCTAATACCGTGCCCAGCCAGTAGTCGTATTGCATAAACGAAGTGGCAGCACTGTAACAGTCCTGTAGCTGTAGTAGTAGTGCTGAGGTATTGCAGTACATATCATACCCTGCAGTGTTTGCTGTAGAGGTACTCCAGTACTGTAAAACTCGAGTATAATATCATTGCCGCCGAAATTTGCACTAGCGGTAGTGCGGTAGGAATCGTGCTGCAGTATTGTGGAGCAGTGCTGTGCTACTGTAGTAGTGGCACTGTAGAATAAGAATGTAGTGCAGTACTCGTTCGAATGATAATATATTGTTGCCTGCAGCGAATGTACTACAGTACTGTAGTAGGAATACTCTAATCCCGCACTCCGCGCTGTTGTAGTAGTCTGGTACTGTAGTGCTGTAGTGGTGGCGCGGCAATAGTCGTAGCACAGTACTGTAGCAGTCGTGCTCTGGTAGTGCTACTCTAGGACTGTACTAGTGGTATTAATACCATGCCCAGCCATAATATTATTGTATCAGTGAAGTGACACGCAGTAGTCATCCATTCAGTAGTAGTAGTAGTAGTAGTAGTAGTAGTAGTAGTAGTAGTAGTAGTAGCAGTAGGAGTAGGAGTAGTAGTAGTAGTAGTAGTAGTAGCAGCAGTAGTAGTAGTAGTAGTAGTAGTAGTAGTAGTAGTAGTAGTTGTAGTAGTAGTAGTGCAGTAGTAGTAGTAGTAGAGTTAGTTAGTAGTAGTAGTAGTAGTCGTTAGTAGTAGTAGTAATAGAGTAGTAGTAGTAGTTCGTAGTAGAGTAGTAGTAGTAGTAGTGGTTAGTAGTAGTCGTAGTAGTAGTAGGAATATTAGTAGTCGTCGTAGTAGTAGTGTAGTCGTAGTAGTAGCAGTAGTAGTAGTAGTTGTTGTCGTTATGGTAGTAGTAGTAGGTAGTAGTAGTGGTCGTAGTAGTAGTAGTAGTAGTAGTAGTAGTAGTAGAAGTAGTAGTAGTAGTAGTAGTAGTCGTAGTAGTAGTAGTAGTAGTAGTAGTAGTAGTCGTAGTAGTAGTAGTAGTAGTAGTAGTAGTAGTAGTAGTAGTGGTAGTAATAATTGTAGTAGTAGTAGTAGAAGAAGAAATAGTAGAAGTAGAAGTAGTAGCTGTAGTGGTAGTAGTAGGAAGTACTCAGGTTTGGCAGTGAAGATCATTCCCTAGTGCTGGGTTTAGCTGTCGCACTGTAGTACTGTAGTAGAACTAACCCACCGCTGTCGTACTCGGATACAGTATTACTGCCATCGAACTGGAGTGCGTCAGTAGTAGTGATGCAGGAATCGTTTCGTACTTTGGTGGAACAGTGGTGTACTAGTGTAGTAGTGGCACTGTAGAAGCAGTGCTTTAGTACATGGATTCGTAAAAGAGTAGTACCCAACGATATGCCTGCAATTTTTACTGGTAGTAGGAATGCTCCAATGCCGTCATGGCTTAAACCTGATGTGCCCAAATCATTGATGTAATGTTGTAGTGGGGACGCTGTACAGTAATGGATTACGTTGTAATAGCCGGTAGTGCAACAATGCAGCAGTGCTATGGCTTAATTGGTACTTTAGTTTACTGTACTGGTATGCTCTAATTACTGGCAGTATTCGTAATGACTTTAAACTTGGAGTACTCAAGCACGTCCGCCGTGCTTAGCAGCGTAGTGCGTAGTAGTATGTAATAGTAGCATTCTACTGAAATCGTCGTAGTACTCTGGTACAGTAGTAGTGGTACCGACGTGTTCGTGGCTGTGGGAACAACACATACACGGTTCTTGTAACATTTTAATGGTGGAGCATAACTTTTTTTTTTTTTTTGTTTTTTTTCTTTTTTTTTTTTTTTTTTTTTTTTTTTTTTTTTTCTTTTTTTTTTTTTTTTTTATTATTTTATTTTTCCTTTTTTTTTTCCTTTCTTTTTCTTTTTTTTTTATTTTTTTTTCTTTTTCTTCTTTTTTTTTGTTTTTTTTCTTTTTCTTTTCTTTTTTTTTTTTTATTTTCTAAGATGGGCTGAGCTGATTCTATTTTTTGTTATGGTGTTGTTTTTTTTTTTTGATTTTTGTTGTATAAGCAATTGTGTTGTAGGAGTAGTCGTACCGTAATATTGTGATAGTAGAACTGTTGTAGTAATGAGGTAGTAGTAATACCTGAGTCTTGTAATCGCAGTTGCAGGTATGAGGCTAGTGCTGTACGGTTGTCTGCAGTGAGTGTAGTACAGTGCTGTAGTAGGAATTGGCGAATGCCATATTACCACAGCACGGGTGTAGCATTATAGTACTGTGGTGCTGTAGTGGCGGCGCTGTAATAGTCGAATTTTTGGTGGAGCTCTAACATTGGAGTGGTCAGGCAGGATAGCCGTACCCTAGTACTGTATTGCCCTACTAGTATTGTATGTGTAACATTTTATTGATGTCGAAGTAATACTCTGTTGCAGTAGCGGCGGTAGCACTGTAGTGGTGGCTGGAGGAGCAGTGCAGTATTGCAATACTTCAGTCGTGTAGCAGCATTATGGTACGATCGTACTGTTGTAGTCGTAATAATGTTGTGGGGAATCGTCGTGATATAACAGTTTATTTGTAGTACTATGGTAGTAACAACAATGGGACTGAGGCTCAGGCCAGGCTTTGGTTGAGGCTGAGGCTAGGCTTAGGCCAAGGCTAGGGCTGAGGCTGAACCTCATTTTAGGTTGAGGCTTAGACTGAGGCTGAGGCTCAGGCGAGGCTGAGGCTTAGGATGGGATTCGACTAGTCTGGTTCAGGCTGATGCTTAGGCTGGGTTGCGGCTGGTGCTTAGGCGTAGGCTGAGGTTCAGGCCAGGCTTAGGCAATGCTTAGGCTGTCGCTGAGGCTGAGGCTGAGGCCAGGCTTAGGCTAGGCTGAGGCAGAGGCTGAAGCTGAGGCTCAGCTGAGGCTGGGGCTGAGGCTTAGGTTAGGTTTCGGCTAAATTGTGGCTGGGACTTAAGCTAGGTTAGGCTGAGGCTTAGGCTAGGCTTAGGCAGATGATTAGGCTGAGGACGGTGGAGAGAGAGAGAGATAGAGAGAGAGGAGAGAAAGA